CTGAAGCTGAAGCCCTGTGGTGTGGGGCCCCCCGCAACTGCCCTGCTTGCTACCACTTAACGCTGACCCTGGCTTTTATATGCAAAAAAACAGTTGTGGCACAGCTGGGCCATGGAGTTTTTATAGCATGTTACAGGGGGCCTCAGAAAGAAAAAGGTTGAGAACCGCTGCCCTAGAGCACACTTCCCTCAGGCTTGGAATGGAAGAAGAGATTCTTGAGTTTCACAGCCTCTGCTGTCAACAAATATCTCCAAAACCTGCTGGCAAAGTGTCCCATCTCTCTCAGTGCTGGTCCATAAAGAGGTTAATAACCTACTAGTGCTATCAGTTACTCTGTAAACTGAAAATGGCAGACCTAAGAGTGGATCTAAAGGTTTCCACCCTGCTGATGAACTACGTGGGTATCAACATGATGTCATGTGATGGAATGAGGCCACTTCTATTTGTAATAGGCTCTCATGACCAGGATCCCTGAAGAGGGATGGTGATGGGGTAACCCCAGGCTACTATCTCCAGCAGATCACACCCAGTGGAATGGGTTCAGGTGGCTTCCAAAGGTTGTGCTCTCTGAATTGGTTCCTAAGCAGATCTTGACCTCCCATCAAATTTTCTGATAGACTATCACTTTGGAATGTGGGGCCGAAGTCGAAGAGAGTTGACTCCCCTTGCTCTACCTCAAACGTTTCTGTCAGGGTACTACATTTGTCTGTGGTAAGATAGGGAGCATGGTCTCGCTGGTGCAATGGCTGAGGGCTGTGTGGTTGAGGATGGGGAAGTGTAGATCCCCAGCAAGCACAGGGTTACTTTGGAATCTTCCAGTAAATGTAGGGTGCTATCAGTTAGTTCGATGAACATCTCTGAGCCCTCAATGAGCAAGCCATCATTCATGGCTTGTACCTTGTGAGGGATACATGAGGCTTGAAGCTACACAACTCTCTGCATGGTCACATGCAGGTAGCCATAGACTTGGATGGCATGTCACAGGTATTCATCGCTGCCTGCAGGGCTATCTTGGCCACCAGTTGGCCTTCTTTTTTAATGTTTTTCAGCTCCTCTCTCTTTTGTGAGGCAGCCTGGCCTGGAAAGGTGTCACCCTGTCCATTGTTAAAAAGTCATATTTGGCCAATAAAGCCTGGCAGTTGGCCTTGCTCCAAAAATATCTAAGCGTCTAGGATCCTTGTCCTTAGATGAGTCCTGGTGGGTGTAAAAGTACTTGAATCCCAGGTGTGGGGAGGATACCTGTATTATTTCTCTACATGTTTCACTCATGGTGTTATAAGTTGTTGGCATTTGCCACAAAGCTCTTGCCAGATCTAGGAGGCTTTCATTTCATGTTGAGGGCAATCCTGGTGAGACCAGTGGTCAACAATATGATAAGCAGCTCACGAGACTTCTGGGAGATGACCAAAGTCACAATGTCCAGAGCATCTCTGATCTGCACCAGGAGTTCTTGAAAGGTCTTGAAATCATCCAGTGCTGGTATAGGTACTGAGGCTACTGCCTTGTCTGGGGACTATAAGGAGAAGTCATTAGGCAGTAAGAAGAGTTGTTTGGCCTCTGGTTCCTTTTTTTTTGTTTTGTTTTCTATGGAGGACAGAGGTCCTTCATCAGTGTTTGGGGTGACCCCATTCAGCACCCTGCTTTTACATCTGAAGCATCAAATTCAAAGTTAGGGCTGTCAATGACTTTGGCACCTGTGCCACCATCCCTGGTGCCAGTGTTGACACTGGAGCCAGGTGTGCCACCTTCGGTGCTATTTTCTCTGCAGAGATCATCGGAACTGCCTGTGTGCTAGATGGAGCACTGGAAGATATAGACTTGACTGTTAGATGGGTCTTGGAGCTCGGGTCTTCTGGATCCAATGGCACTCAGATTGCTCCAGAAGATGAATCTTCAGCATTGTATTTCTTGAATTGTGGGTTTTTGCAGAGAAGAAAAGACAAACTGAGAACCTGCTTGGGATGTGAGACTTTCTGAAACAGAACAGATATCTTCTATCTTAGTGGAATTTGCCCATTGCAGGATGGACAAGTACAGGCAACCTTAATTCTGACATCTCTTAACTTTGAGTCCTTGGCTTTGCAAGCTTAATAATGTTCTTTTCACATGCTCTTGCTGGGATTTATATAAACAAATCCCAGCAAGAGCACATACAATTTGTTACTAATTACTACCACTTTCCACATTGCACAGAAAAGCAGAAGACATTTATAAACTCACTGACCTTTAAGAATTCTCCAAAGAGTAAGAGTACCTGAGGTAAAAATGCTCAGTGGTTGTGTTGAAGTTGGATCAACACTCACATGCATAGGAAAATACAATTTTCCCCACTGCACATAAGTAGTAGAAAAGCATTAATTTTAGCATGCTAGTATTGAGCACCTACAGAGACACATTTTCAGCCACACTACAAAAGCCTTGTGAATAAAAGCATATAATGATTCACATGTCAGGGTCATGTGAATCTGGATTCACATTTTAGTGCTGCCTTTGAAAACTAAATCTATAAATAAGAGAATCATTTTCTTGTCAACAAAGTATATCTCAAGTTGTTTACCACAGATTCATGTGCTGATTCTTAAAAGCACACTCAAACAAGAGCTTTAAGAAATAGAAAATAATGGGACTTTGCTATTTACTACTTCAGCTTACAGATTCTCAAAATCAGCCTTTTGTATTTTTTCAGTTTTTTTTAATTAGAGACTTATATTGCATGCATATAAGACATCCTTTCTAAACTGAACGTATCTCTACAACATACTATAATGGTACAATAACAATGAAGAAGATTAAGAGAGAATATGAAATCAGATAGAATTAAATGAAAGATTCCTATGAGACAGTAGTAAGTATACTACAATCTAATGAAGAACACACTAAAATGACATATGATGGTTCTTATATCAAGTACTGTAAGTATGTATTATCCAAATAAAAATAAATTAAAATACACCTCTACCCCAATAGAACGCGACCTGATATAACACAAATTCGGATATAACGCAGTAAAGCAGTGCTCCGGGGGGGGGGGGGCGCACTCCGGTGGATCAAAGCAAGTTCGATATAACGCGGTAAGTTTTTTTGGCTCCCGAGGACAGCGTTATATCGAGGTAGAGGTGTATATCAGCGATAGCCATATACCTCTTCTGCAACTATTTCTTTTCTACATTTCCTTTCTCCATAGGCATTGTATAATTTATTAGGTTTATTAAATCATTTTATTGTTATTACAATTGTATTTATTTTCTTTAAAACATACATATTTTACCCATATTGTCACAAAAGTTATGAAGCAGTTAGTAACAAAAACATTAAGATGAAATTCCTCCTTTTCTGCTCTGAACTTTTTTGTTAAGAGGCAAAACATACATTAAACATTCACTTTTTCATTATATTTTACATAGATATACTGCAGTTTTTGTACTGAATTATTCAAAAGTTCAAAATTTATTCTCTTCCAAGTGTTCCTTTTAATTTATGTTCAAAGTATTAATGCCCTTTTATAAATTCAAACATGAATTATACAGTTAAATCCAAGATTATATAGATAACTGTACCTAATTTCGTTCAGCTCATTTGTTTAAAGACACAATCCAGTAATCTATCAATGTGAGTAATGTTCTTTGCACGCAACTTCTTAGTATGATTGGACCCTTATTGCCATCACCTATCTTCTTCCTCCAAAAATAGGAGGCAACAAATTGGTCCCTGTGCGGGATATATGTATTTACAGTGGTTTTCATTCTCAGAATAAGTTGGGCCCCCTGGATGCTAAACAAGGTCTGTTTGGTCTTTTCAATAAAGTGACTGGCTTATGAAGGTATTGAATTCAAATACTGTTCAACAGATATTGTCTGTCACACACTCTCTCACTGTCAAACAGATCCTTATATTTTCAAGACTTATTTATCGTTGGCATCTGAAAATATTCAACACTTAATACATATCTAAATTACTCTCTTTGATGAGAAGACTAAAAGTAATATTTATATTTAATATTCCATCATCATCCAGACTGCCTATCAAATGCTTAAGATATGCATTAGACACTGACAGACAAAGGAGAATTTACTGTTTTTCAAGATGTTTTGCATGGGGTACAGTAGTTTTAGTTTGGAAATTTATCACCAAGACTTCTTGCAGTCATATGATGGTACTGCGGCATACTTTGGTGGTAAATAGAGTGAAGCAGAAACAAGAAAGATGGCCTTTTGGTTAAAGCACTGGGGACTGGAATCAGAATATCTAGATTCAGTTCCTGGCTCTGCCACAGATTTCCAGGCTTCATACTGGTATTACTGTCTGGACATATTTTAAACCCATGGTTCAAATATTGCTGCTCAAGGTGGGGTGATTCCAATAGCCTGAAAGGAAAGATTAAGTATGTATTGCAAGAAGTGTACAATCATTAAGGATATTTTATTTCTGGAGAACTATACTGGCAGTCTAGTTATAATGCAAGGTACACCAGGGTAGGGGAACAGGTTTGTGAAAAAGATCCTCCATTTGTGGGCTGGTATTAGCTCATTGTGAGATGGAATTAGTGCATTCAGACCCAATCAAAATGGATCCTCGTGTTTCAATATAAAATGTAATCCTTCTGGCTGTTTAAAAATTGCATGGAAAAGCTCCACTGGAAGCCATATCCAACTCTTCTGTGTTAGAAGGACAACTGATACATTGAAACCGGCTTAACGATGGATAGGAGTGAAAACAGCAAGGGAGGAATTTCACCTGTTTGTTCATTCAAGCTTTCCTACAAGTAATCTTGTTATTTATTAATCTGAAAATGTGCATTTTCTATTAGAAGCTAGTATTAAATTTATATTTAGTGCAAGGCCAGCTTTCAGAACCAAATTTAAGCAGCAAAACTCTCATTGGCTTTAATGAGTCTATAATCTGGCTTTAAATGCAAAAACTTAGTATAATTAAAATTATTTTTATTTTAAGTTTATTGATTTATTTATACCACACCAAGTTATGACTAAACAATACTGTACCTTTACAAGATTCAAAATGATAATGGGAGAGCCAAACCTCTGAAGCATTTGATCAAAGTGAAGTGCAGCTATGTGCGCAAATGGATCTGCTTGGTCCACTGGAACAAAGTAAATAAATATATTCGGGGAAAATGTCAGATTCTGAAAGGTTACTTTCCTATGAATGCATTTTTTATAAAAGATTTACTAATTTTTTAATAATATCAATACAATTCACACCTCTCTATCATTAAAGAAACAACAGGGTAAAAGCAAAGGTTTTCCCTTTAATTTTTTATTTTTTTAGTTTGTCAAAAATTAGATAACTAGAAAGAAACTGTTACTTACCTGTTCTGTAACCACTTTCACTTTTACATCCATTCCACTTCTGTTCTACACACAACCAGTGCACTGGACCCAGAGATGTTTTTCACTTAAGAGATACCCACTGGGGCAGCACTTGTGCAAGCTAGCCAGTGATATAAAGGGTGGGGACAGTTACTGACTAGCAAACTCAAGCCCAATCCAGTAAAGAACATATGAATGTGCTAAACTCTGAGCATGTGAGTAGTCCCACTGAAGTCAAAGGGCAAATATATCCTGGCCCCATGAAAGTTAAGGGGAATTTTTCAATTGGTTAACAGAGCCAAGATGTCATCCAAAATGTTCTCCCATGGGAGACAAACAGATAAATAACTATTTGGATACAGAATCATGAGCACAAAGAAGGCTGCAGTCTTCAACCACAAGCATTATCACATTAGGGCAATAAAGGGCCACTGTGGGCACAACATCTAATATTAAGAAGTCACCAAATTCCTCATGTCTAATTTCAATCTGGAACTAATTTTTGTGGCTAACTAATGAACACTTTCATAAACCAGGATGTTTATAAAATTGCTGGTCAATCTTTAATTGTAGCTTCACAGTGAAGAAACAAAGATACAATTTTTTTAGTTTTTACAAGATTAACCTTCACCTATTCTCTCTCTGGCATGTTCTTTTAGGAAAACACATTGCTTACCATAGGCTACCATAAAGAATATATTGAACATACATGTAATTGGTGGCTTAGGCATCATAGTCGAAATATCTTGAGACCAGTATAGAGGGACTGAGCCTCGAACTTGAACGTAAGAAGAATAGCTCCCTGCAGAAAATGACATCACCGAAGCATCACAAAGTATTTGTTCAGTTTCTACTTCATTAGCAACATCCCCCTGAAACAAACAAAAAAAATGCAAATACTGTAGACATATTACATTTCAGAGCTGCATACATAGATACTGAAACAACAACTGTAAATGACAGGACTAATTAAAACTAAAAATAAGGGATGTCAAATCATAGGAGCACAAGAATTCCAAAGCAGGGAACTGAATTGGTCACAGTTGCCAACTTTCACATGGTAAATAAGTACCCCGATTTTCACAATATGCCAAAAAACAAGCTAATCCCATTTCAAAACAAGGCCAAAAGAAGTCAATCCCTAAGAACCGCAACACTCTATGTGACTAGATCCCCCGGCGTGCAGTCTGGGACTGTGGTGGGCCCGCTTAGCACCCCTGACTCTCTCCCCCACTTGCCCCTGCTTGCCCCCACTTGCCCCTGCTTGTCGGGAGCCGATCAATAAAAAAGAAGCAACAAGCTACAAGCCAAAAACTAGCCAACAAGCAACTTTACAAGCCAATTTCTGTGTTTTCTTCGTGGGTTTGGCATGTCTGATGTAACTCCCACCTTTTGATTACTTTTGTATCAGCATGCAAAGCTACACATTACTATTGGTCACAAAATTGTCCAGCCCTTTTTAAATCCCGCTATAAAATATTTAACTTAAAACAGAGACTAGGGTTAGTGCAAAAAGTTGTTCTAAATGTGTCCAAGAATCACACATGACCAAAATATTGATCTGCTTGCTGCCTGATTATGGAGCTGAAGAGGCATTAGTCCTGAAGGGGTCTGACTGATTGTAACTTGGTTTGATGCAAGCAAAACAAATATTGTTAGGTAGTGATTCAAGGTGATAAATAATTAGGATTGAGGTCAGGCAGGCTTTGGATAACTGATCATCAGATTCATGAAAAAGTTGGTTGCCTCCCTACCTCTGGCCCCAATCCTGCAATATGATGTACTAGCATAGACCCAAATGTCTGTGCAGAGCCTAGAGGATGCCAGTGGTACCACAAGGGAGCATAAAGATCTATATCATCTCACTGCAGTGTTGGGCCCTAAATATAGGTCTGTATATCGGGTTATTTCTCTACAGACTGGATTTCAACAGCTATTACATACAGTGCAAAGAAAATGTGCACCAGCATACACATGAAAGAACTATGAGTAACTATATAAAATTTCAACATATTTGCAGTAATAAATTATGAGTAACTACAGCATGAATTCTCTACAGCAAATTAAATCCCATTTGCTGCTGTTATATATTTCAACTCATCAGAATTTTCTTTTCTACCTTACAGGTAAATACCTCACTATATTCACTAAAGTATTACAACAGAAACTTTTCTTATCCTGGCTTTCATTTCTTATATTTAATTTAATTATCATAAAATAGTAAAATTTACATTTTTCCCCTTGACATTTTGACTATGGATGTGATAACTGTAAAATGAAGAATAAGCTACCAAAACCTTAAGGACACAATCCTGCTCTCTATTAAGGAAGTAGGATAAGACCTTCATGTAGTGCAGTACAAAATGAAAGTTGAGAGAGATTTAGTTTACCTCACAGTTTGCTCCTCTCTTTAGAAAACGTGTTCCAGCAAATTTGCTTGATCTTCTGGCTATCAGAGTGACATGCACTGGACGACCATATATTAACAGTTCTTGGAAGTAAGGTTAAGGTTTACACATTTTATGATTCCCAAAGCTATTTTCCTTTCATTTACTTTAGTCCTGGCCAATGTTAAAAAAAAAAAAAAATGTACTCCAAAGAAAATGTATTTTATTGTGCTTTTTTCTGAATGAAAACCCTATTTTAATATTATTTCATAAGACCTCTAAGAACACAGGTGAACATAATTCCTTTTTACTTTTTCAGATTTCTTTAACAAGTGGGAGAGACATTAATTCCCTTTTCAATCAATCATTTGTATAGTGCTTTCCATTTTCAAAGCTCTTTACAATAAATCAGCTAATCCTCACAACCACCTTACGGAAGAAGATAAATATTACTTCCATTTTACAGAAGGAACAATGTAGGCAGAGCTGTTACAAGATTTATCTAAGGCCCCCGGAGGAGTCCATGTCAACTCTGGGATTAGGAACTCCTGAGTTTTATTTCCAAATCAGATATATAGGTTATCCTCCAATGATTTTTCTGGAAAGGCAGTTCACTTGCAACAGCTTCAATAATCAGACTACGTAAAAGCCACTGAAACATACTACAGAAGCAGTGGTGATTTGACTTCAGTTTATACTTTGCCAGGTATTGAATTAATCTACCCTTAATTATCTTTGATTGCTTACATACTGAGGTGAGACACGCACATCTAATTGTCAGATTTGTCCTTCATTCACCTTTCCTTGAAGACTGGAACTACATTTGGTAACATTTTAGTCATCAAGAAGATCTGCTGCAAGTAGGTGTTAAAAGCATGTATGTAGGGGGAATCTTGAGCTTTTTAATGTTTTAATGTTAATGCAATTAAAACAGAGGGCCAGATCCTCTAGAGGCCACTTTGTGCTGCCATTTTAGCATATTCTGGCCATAAGGCAGGCATAACAAGGCACTGAGGTGAGGGTGGGGAGGGAGAATCAACTCTATGACACCGAGCCAACAAAGAGGCTATGTTCAGCTTTCACATCACACACCCCATCAGTACCTGGCCCGGGCCAGGGAAGCTAATGATCCAACCAGTGCACCAAATTGAGTAATCCATCCTGGCCACATGCCACCTGAGGCACACTGTGCATACGCTAAGAAGATATCACTCAGATCTCTGCTGCTGGCAGCACAATGGGACTAGCCAAGATGCCCCTATAAAAGCACTGATTTGTGATTGCCATTTGGGCCAGTTGAGGCCAGTAACTGCTCCTGTAAACTAGAGTAGCCTTGAAACTGTTCTAATTTATGCCTGGGAAGCAGCCCTGCACCCAGCAGCCCCAGAATCACAGGACTGCACAAGGGAGCTTCAGACCACCTTTGCAACCTCACCCTCCTTGTGCTGTGTGCTCCTCAACAATAGCCATTTATCTGAACCCCTGCATTAAAGGGTAGTTCGAAAAAAATAATCATGAAGTGATGTATTGTTCTTTCTTGACTTGTCTGAAAGAACTGAGTCTCAAGGCAATTTATTTTAAAATCTAGTTATTCTACTTTAAGGATAAGTATCACTGTATTCCCTCTCTCCCACACACAAACACCTTTTTTTTTTTTTTTTTTTTTTTGAAAAGTGTTATTTGAGTTTTATGATGCATAACTTTACCTGTGCAAAATTACATACTAAATACTAAAGGCCTCAAAGCTACAAATATTTATGCACAAAGAATGGGATAACTCACATGCAGAATTACTCCTATACAGACGCTTTTGCAAAACAAGAGTCTGGGAATGGAGAGATGGAAGAGAATACAATGAATTCAGAAGATCTTTTGCAAAAGGTTATACCTAAATTCTGAATCCATAGTCATATTCCCCTTTGTCTTTCATTTTTTCCCCATGAATAGGCTTGTATATATTAATGGTGTATGGTAAAGATGATAGATTAAAATAAGCCAGCTAAAGTATGCTAGATTCTTATTAACTATTAAGATGAGAGGACAGTTCATTTAAATGATGTATGCATAGGTTTATATTAATCATTTATGTATAAAGTTAAGATTTGGATATATTTTCCACTAGTGTTGCAGTAGATCTATCTATCTATATATTTTTTTTAAAAAGCCTTAGAATGGAATTTTTAAAAGCACTCAATGTCGATTTAACTCTGGTCCCATTGCATTCAGTAAATTTTATCACTTGTTAGGTCTCAGTGATTTGAAAATCCAATCCTAAAATAATAAAAAATAATCCCTCTGTTTTAGCAATAATATCAGCACATCTCTATGTGAATAATTAAGCTCTACCACAGTTTCCCCCCCCCCTCCCCCCACTTCAGAACTCCCTGATAAATATCATCTGGTCCCAAAGGAGTTTGTCAAGTTGCTCTACTAGGACTCAAATCTGCAATTAGCTCCACACTGGCACAGCACTCTGCCTGCATGGAAGTGATTGCAAGATTGGAACCTTATTTTTCCATAGTATTATCACACAGTGATTTACTGTAAAATGTGTGCTTGGGTTAAGAATTTTCCTTCATCTTTTATAGACACAGTAAGGACATTATCTTTCCAATTTTATATCTTTTTTTAGATCCTATGTTTTTAAAATCTGGCAAAATAATGCAAAACTAATTAAATGACTGTCATAATACATGTGAAAATCCTTTTAAATAGTTTAGTAACAACTGATGCAGTAATTAAACTTTTGTCCTATGAATTTCTGTCCATACACAAACTTTTAAATGCAATAAACCAATATTTGTAATCTTATAGTAAAAAGGATACTGGACTGCCCACAAAATCCATGAATAACATATAACAGCCAGTCATGATGAACAGTGTTTTTTACTATGTCCAGCAGTTGACCATTCCACACGTACTTTTTATATGGTTCACTGCAAATCCCAAATACACCTAAAAAGTTAAAATGAAAATGCATCAACAATAATAAAAAAAGAGCTCAACCATGTTTGATAATTTCATTTTTAAACACACTGTAACTGAGGCTTTTAATTTGATTGTGCTTGGCCCCAATTCAGGAAACCACTTAATTATGTGCTGCAGGACTTGCTGAACAGGGATGGATTTAAGCACATGTTTAAAGTTAAGCATCTAAGATTTTTATACTGCCACCCATCATTTTAGTATATGAATGCTTTCCATGTAAAATCAATAGCAACAGAAAGTCCCTAATGGACTTCATGGGAACCGCTATCATCTCTTTCACTTTGAAAAACATTATACTTTTTTCAGAAAAATGGGAAAGGACCAAAGTTATAAACTGTATGTTCATTGATGTGGTTTCGCATATTTCTACAACACTAAACAGATACAGCAAAAAAAAAAAAAAAAAATTACAATCCAACTTTGTTGATGATGCTCTGCTAAAAATGATTAACATGAAGTATTAGAGAAAGAAAGAAACCAAGTAACCCACCTAAAATAAAACAACTTTCAAGTGTTTCTGTGGGGGAGGGAGTGGAAGAGGCACAGAAAAACAGGAGAAATCAGACATGAACACACATTTTAACTATTAAATTTTGATTAATATCCCTTTAAATCTGCTGTGTTTGTCAGATCCACAATGGAAGCCTTTGGTTGCAGTTTAAATTAATGCGTGTTTTGTTCGGAGTCCCTTGTAGAGCCTAATGGTTTAAGTTGGTGGTAATATACAATTTCTTTGTCATCAATATTTACCAACATTAAACAAGACAAAATCTATTAGCACTATTTATACTTCACTGAAAATTGATTACTGCTTCATTTGTAAATTCATACCTATTGAGTGAGCTGAATAATCAATTGCTGAAAAATGTCAGCATGCTCAATTATCTCCCTTAGCTACAATGTAAATTACCAAAATAAATGATTAATCATCTCTAGAAATTACATTGCTCATATTCAAATATCTGTAATTGGCACTTCATGTAATCTTTTATTAACTGAGGACTGTTATGAGACTGCACTGATCAATTAAAAAAGCTGGATGTTTCTGCAAGGTAGGCTGAAGTGAAAAATAGTTCTAACTGCATTTGTCATTAACTATATTAGTATTAATTCAGTATGTCTAAAATACACTTACCACTTCCACCTTGTGCTGCAAGTCCCTCATCTTCAAAGATATCAAAGCTCTCCTGTCGAGTCTGAATTGTTTCAGTTTTTAATATCTCAAGTGGCATTCTCAGGATGGTAAGATTATATTGCAGAGAGTGTGACAGATCATAGCTGTAGCTGAAACCAAGATTAAAATTCAGTAAAAATTATGGGAGCATGGAATACTTCTGAAAACCCTTCCTTTCTGCATGTATTGTTATTTAATGCAGTGTAGACTATTTTGCATAAAACAGCAAATGACAATGAAAATAGATGAACATACTGTAATTACAGAATGGTAGCTTGCACAGGGGATCCTGCAAACAACACATTACAAGCTAATGAATAGTTTATAGCACAATGGCTGAAACTTTAATAAACAAAAAACAAAGTAAACAAAAAAAAGAGATTGAACATTTCTCTGCAGCAAAGAGTGACTACAGCCACTCAGCCTGGACATGAGACACTCTTCGTCCTGAATAGACGAGTCCAAGGTCAGAATGGCTACCAAGCCAGAGATGCTGTCTGGCCCACAACACATGTCCACATTACCAAGAAAGCTAAAGCCACAACTGAGACAGACTCCAGGCAGTTTGCCAGAGTCTCTTGGTCCCAGCTACACAAGTCCCACTATTATGAGAGACATATACCCCTCCTGACCTACCATCCCAAACAATCAAACAAACAAAATAAATGATTATTAATCCCGCAAACACTACCCGCAAATGTGAAATAACATGAACATGATTATAGTTTAGCCTGAACAGAAAATACAGTGAACAGTCATCATAATATACGTTCAGCAATTAAAAGCCAATACAGTCTCTGGATCAACCACTTGCCCCAAATCCTTGCACACAGCACATGGATGGGTGGAAGGGAAAGTTGTGCCACAGAAGCAGGAGTGTATGAATGGTCCTTTGCTTCTCCCCCTACTCCCTCTATGGGGGACAGCAGAGAGGAAAAAATAGATATAAACAGAAAAAGGAAATATAGGGGAGAGAATGAAAAAATGATCCTGACTGATCTATTTAACTAATGTCCATTTTAAATGGACAACACTCCTTGTTCCTCCTTTAGTTACTCTTGCACCTGGAGATCTGCTTTCTTTTCCCTTCTACCTCTTAGGAACTTAGCATGGAACCTTCGGAACCTTCTGCCTTTCTGCTGGTCTTAGTGCTGCAAACTGAAAATTGGCTTACATTGGGACTGTGTGTGTGAGTGCACCTGGTGTCCCACTGAAGAGTGCTACTGGTATTTTAAAGTTGCAGTGTGAAGACCAGCAGAAAGTAACCAAGGCCTGATATCTAACAGATTGGACCCTAAAAATAAAGGGAGTGAGGACTGCACAGAAAAATGGCCTCCAGTGGTGCTGGGAGAACATCAACAGCTATTAAGGAATATCCAAGGAAGGGGGGAGACTACAAGAGGAGGGGGGAAGAGCCCATATATAAGTCCAGACCAGCTGACCCTCTGTGTGAATTGAGCAATAGCTCAAGCGCACAGGAATTCAGCCTAGTTTGGAAAGATAATTTTTGCCTGGGTTGTCTTGGTAGCACATATTTATCATTAAGAGAAGCCAGTGTAAAAGGAGAAGGGAAAAGAAGACATATGCAAGTTTTTCATCAATAATCATATCACTTTGTAATTTGTATTGAGCTTCCTGGTTAATGCCTTCACACTAGTGATTGTTAAGGATAAGTACATTTTGCATCACTATTTTCAATTGTTTGTTACTGTTGAAAACCATCTAATTTTGCCACCCTATATTTTTTCAGGAGCTGGCTGTCAATCGTCTAATTTTGTCACATCACACTCTAGGCAGGCCACTTCCCCCTCTTCCCCCCACCTCCATATTCTCACTCTTTTTCATTGTTGGCACAACGTTGTTCGTCACTGGCAAACTTCTCAAATGAACCCAAAAAGCTTCTGTAAAACACACTGATACTATGTAGAGTCAATGGCAGATGCTGGCAGCCCTACACAGCTAAATCACGAGAAGACAAATCCAGATAAGTATCAGCTTCAATTTCAGTTCTGAAGCTCACAAAAATCTTTCAGAAAAACCCCAATTTAGAGAATCTGAATGAGAATTCAGATCTCAAGGCTAAACTATACGCTTTCTATCACTTAGGCTCCTGACCCTCTTAGAGACTCAGAATGTCACCACCCAGAATTCAAGAGGTTAATTGCTCAAACCGCATCCCATTGCTATCATGATACAGCATATTTCAGAATGTGGATGAAGCACTTCCCCACATTCACCCCTACTGCACCACCCATTCAGCTGTCCATCCAATAAACAGAAATCTCTCTTCCTTATGAGAGAAATACCCTTTAAACATGACCTCTCTCCACCTTGCCTAATATTTCTTCTTACATTGCACAGACCTATTAGGTTTTGCCTTACTGCACCTGGGAGTGAGCTTCCCAGCCTGCGTAGATAGATTTGTGCTAGCTTGGTTCAAGCTAGTGCACTAAAAATAGCAGTGTGGATGTTGTGGACCCAACCGAACTTCGGCTAGCAACCAAACTTAGCCCCAGGGGGTCACGGTGGTCTTGACCATTTATTTTAAGTAGCATGTTGCCTATAAAAGTTAGTTCTGAACACACTGATTGTAAACAAGTAGCACCTCTTGGAGTTATTTTTCTTTCTAAAATATTGAAAGATAAATTAAAATGTACTGATTCTTTAGATTTCATGGTTTTTCAAAGGTACATTTTCCAAAATGTACCTTTCTAAATTTTCTGCTGCAATTGTATTCACTAAGAAGATTTCCTAAAGCCAAACCTCTTGGAGATAATGGTCCTCACTGCTAAGTCAGGAGGGAACCCAAAACAGCAGCAGGAAGTATGTCTCCTAAGTTATTTTAAATAACCTGCACATAGAGAAAGTTTCTTCTGGTGCTTGTTTGACCATTGCCTGTTCTTGAACAGGCTTTTTATTTATTTATATTTTTTTTAATGATTTTCTTTCACAGGGTTTCATTCAGCTTCCTCTGAGCCATCTGGTACTGACCACTGCTGGAAACATGAGACTGAATTAGATGGACTACTGCTCCGATTAGGTATGGCAATTCCTATGTTCCTAAACATAAAACAAAGCTAACACTTCAAAGGCAAATGTAGGAAATAAGTTCTACTAACCACATCCAGGATGGTGATTGCTGAGAAATTAGCAAAAAGTTTTCAGTCCCACCATGCTAAAAAGTCACAGGACCCATATCCCATGCTTAAAGTGATAGTGTTCCATATTTAATTATAGTCATATTTTAAGGAGAACAAAATAATTTTTTAAGCCACTAGATTTCCCTTTCTGAGAGGGACTTCAAACCAAGTTGCAAATACTTCTAAAGCAGAAATACAACCAGTGGGACTGAAACAGAAACCTAAGCTACCCGTTTTAGGTGACACTGGAGGTTTTAGGATCTGAGGTCTTCCAGTGAGTTTTAGTTAATTAATTAATTACAACTAAAGAATGAATTAAAACATACACTTTTATTTTACTCTTTAGCATACTGATTTGAAGAGGTTGGTGTTGCTTACCAGTTCTGGCCTCACCAAAAAGCACAGCCTGATAGCTCTTAGAGCTGCAAACCTCCCTTTTTGCCTTTTTTATAGGCAATTTTGTGTATGACTGACTCTTTTAGTGAGATTCTTCTACAAGTTCTGCCCAGAGTGTTCTTCCACTTTGCCTTTGGATCCTTGTCTGTTGGAACTGAAGTTATACCATTTTTTTTTTCCCTTACAGCAGCTAGCTTTCTAATGACTGAGGAATTCTGGTCAAGATTCTCAACAAAGTTTACCAGTACATGCAGAAAACTAACATTGCAGTGATTCTGAACCAGTTGTTCTCAACCTATTTACCATTGTGGGCCGCATCTGCAGCTCTTTATGTGTTATGTGGGTCGCATCCACACAATATATATATACTACCTGTATGGCCCTGAGGATGTCATGTGGGCTGCAGCTGTGTGGTGATTGGGCCGCAAGTGGCCCACGGGTTGAGAACCACTGCTCTGAACCATCAGCACTTTGTTTTGGATTAGGGTGACAATACCAGAATACCTATTTTCATAAAGCTAGAACAATTTTGCTGCAAAAGAACGAGACCAAGAACATGGTATGACACTGTGATATTCTATATCGTGGGGGAGCGTACTGTAACCCCCATATTCCTCATTTTCATAGAATTGTAATCTTACATATAAGCATGCCTTGTAAGGTATCAGGGGAAAGGTTATGATCTGCTGAAAGTCATTTCTTTATCCATATATGTTTATCATTAATGCATATGAAGTTATGAGAATTGTGTTGTATGGTGGTTACTAAAGCATGCTGTAAGTTGGGGAATCAGCCAGGTCTTAGCTCCCTAGAGGCAACAGCAAGGAAAGTAACCAAAGCCCGGGCGGGGTGTCAAACAACCCATCAACAGCCATTGTCCAGCAAGGAAGCTACCATGTAATGTCTCACCTGCATGAGACCACACCAGGGGAATTGCTCAACCTTGCTTGGAGAGACTCAGCAATGCCCCACAGACATGCCTGGACTTGTGTTCTACAAGCACATGGACTGAGGGTATAAAACAGACAGAGTGGACACATACTGGGCCCTTCTCCTGCCCCCACTTATGCTGCAAGCAACCAAGACACTGAGAAGAAGACAACTCCAACACAGGAGATCGGCCCAGGTTTAAGGAACAAACAAACCTGTATATTAAGGACTGCAATATCCAGTGGGGTGAGAAAAACTGCTTAATCTAGTTGCTGCCCAGTCTAATAGGGTTGAGAGTTTAGACTGCGTGCTTATATTTTATTTTATTTTGGTAACCATTCTGACTTGTTATGCTTTGACTTATAATCACTTAAAATTTACCTTTGTAGTTAATAAATCTGTTTTATTCTACCTGAAGCAGTGCGTTTGGTTTGAAGTGTGTCAGAGACTCCCCTTGGGATAACAAGCCTGTAAAATATCAATTTCTTTGTTAAACTGACCAACTCATATAAGCTTGCAGTGTCCACCAGGAATAACTGGACACTGCAAGATGGAGATTCCTAGGATTGTGTTTGGGACTGGAGTTATTGGCTATAGTCATTTGGTTTCAAGTAGCTGGGTGCAGCTTACATGCCAGAGGCTGTGCATGAACAGCCCAGGAATGGGGGTTCTCACAGCAGAGCAGGGTAAGGCTGGCTCCCAGAGTCAAGGATTGGAGTGACCTATCAGATCACTGGTCCAGATAACACCAGAGGGGAACGTCACAGACACTAATAACCTTCAGACATTAATTTAACGAAAATGTTGAGGGGAAGGGGGAGTGCATTTTAGGGAGGGGGGTTGGCAAATAATGCAATTGTGAACATAATTGTCAAAAGGAGAGCTTTTTGTTTTTTTATGTTGTGAACAACCTTTCCCATGTCATATTGTGAAAAACATTACATCAACCTGTGGCATATTTCACCTTTATAAAAACTCAGCTCTGAAAAACGAACGTAAATCTCTTTAAAATGACTGGAGGATGTAAAATACACATTGCTGCTTTGAGGTACAGTGTCAATCTGTAACCCCCTTATTCATCATTCATAGATGGTTGTGATATTTCATACAAAGCATGCCATGTAAGATATCATAGGAAAGGTCATGATCTGCTGAAACCCATTGTTGTGTCAAAATGTGTGTATGAAGTTATGAGATTTTGCTGTATGGTTGTTATTGAAATATGTTGAGAGTTTGGGAGTCTCCCACTGCTGGTTCTCCTGTGACAACAACGAAGGAGGAGACTAACACCTGGGCGGGTGTTGAAGGATCACCACCAGCCACTGACCAGCAGGAAGTTGTAAACAAGGGATTTGCAATTCTGTAAAAGTTGCGCAAGCATCACACACTGGGCATTGCTCAACTCTGACTCAGCAATGCCCACCAGGAAATGTCTGGGTAGTATTTTCCAGGCACATGGATTGAGGGTATAAAATAAGGGACAGTGGTATCATGCTTTTACCTTTCTCCACCCCCACCTATGCTTAAGGCAACAAGAATGCTCGGAAGACAGACTTGAACTGAGGAGAAAGCCTGTGTATCAAGGACTGTAACCTATCTGCAGCATCCAGTGGGGTGAGAAAAACTGCTTGATCCAAATACTGCTTACTCTAATAAGGTTTACGATTTAGACTGCGTGTTTACTTTTTATTTTCTTTGGTAACTATCTTTGACCTTTTATTCTTACCACTTATAATCACTTAAAATCTATCTTTCTGTAGTCAATAAACTTATTTTAATGTTTTATCTTAACCAGTGAGTTTGTCTGAAATGCTTAGGGAATCTGCTCAGGTTACAAAGACTGGGGCATGTCCACTTTCCTTTGATGAGGTGGTGAATTAATTAATAAGTTTGCATTGTTCAAGAGAAGGTCTTAAGCAGTGCAAGACGGTATACTTATGGGGTGCCAAGCTGGGGGCTTGGGAGATCTGCTGGTGTTTCCCTGTGTATAGTTCATGAGAGTATTCATGCAACTTAGCTGGGTGTGACTCTGCATGCTGGTGGCTGAGTGATAACAGCACCTGGAGGGGTTTGTTGCTTGTCACTGACAAAGCATTGAGAGAGACAACCCAGGCTGGAGAATTAAGGGGGCACAGCAGTCCCACAGTTACAGGTTGTACTCCGGGGATCTCGTCACACACATGCACCCTCTTTGCTTTGTTTTCTGCAACACAATTCTCTAGTCCTCAAACAGCTGCCTGACTGTACCATTATCTCTTCCCTGCTTTTCTGCTACTCCAGAATTTCTCTCATATCTAGGAGCAGCTAGGACTAGACACAGCAAAATGAAGTAGCATTAATGTGGGTCAAACAAAGGGGTATATGGAATGATCAAATAGGAACCAGACACCCCCAGATACAAGGCCTGAAGAGTCCACATGGTACCTCTCTTTTCTTTGCTCCTGAACTGAAAAAGCTTTATTTCTGAAAAATGAGATTGAGAACGAAAAATACTAGGAAAAGTAAAAATTGAATAGGAGTCTCGCCTCTCATCTGATTCTTGTGAAGATGATGGTGAGCCGAAAAGAACTCTGCCCTCTGTCTGGAAAGCATGAAAATCCTTGGCTCTTCATTTATTGCCATATGTTTTACTTTATAAGGGGAAGGGAAAAGTCTGCTTATCAGTCTGTATTGAATGCAAACAAAGTCACGGAAGAGTTGTGGGATATTGGTATGTCAGTGTGGAAAGCTTTTGCAGACCATATTGTTCCTTTTCTGTGGCTAGAGAGAACACTTTGGTCTTTAAGGCTGTCACCATAAAACAAAACTAAATTTGAAAAGAAAAATCATTTGTGCATTTAAACAATCGAACAATGAAGAGTTTTAAAGAGTTGTACTACAAAAAATTCAGTTAATGGCCTTTAACATTATCGATTACAAGGCACTTCCAGGTAAAACTTGAAATCCAACTACACAAAACTGTGCTAAGCTACCAACAAAATTAAAGCCAAGATTTTAAGATATCTGCTAAAAATTGAGATTACAATAATCAGTAACTGTTGTTAAACACTTACCTAAAATAAAAATTGCTAGACAGGTCCACATTTTGAAAGATTCGTAGATATCTAAATAGAGTAACACAGATAAAGGGAAAAAAATTATTCAAACAGCAACTTCTCTTCAACGTGCACAAAGTGAGACACTGAATAATCAGTTTGAGGAACACCCTGATCAAGATATGCAAAAGTCTACTCATTGTCATCAGCTGTTCCCCTTGTCTTTATTACTACAATTCTCTATTTTGCAGTATTGTATCAATCATTGCAATTCTGCTGGAACACTGGAAAATCTGGCTTGGATAAATCTGATATTATTCTAGACTATATTTATCCATTGTTTGAAACTTGTGTCTCACAAAGGTTTTATATTGTTATTTTAGACCACTGTGGATCCATCTGTTGCAATTTCATCGTCTCTTTATATACACTGTGGGTCAAATACTGCAGTGTTTAGCCAAGCAAAACTGAAACTCCAATTGATAAAGAAGTAAGAACTGCAGGATTTAGTGCTGTCACCCAAACAAAGAAACCATTCCTTCTGTTGCAACCTGCTGTACACCTAAAAGTTCTCTAGGTCTCAAGGACAGTCATATCACTATGTAGGAAAAGTTAAAATTAACTGAACTTCCAATAAGACAAAATACTATGTACTTCTATATCATGATTTAGGTAACATGTTGATGTTTAATAATGTATGTTATATTCATGTGCCCTGTTAGTTTCTAACAAGCAGTATTGATGTGTATTACTTCTGTATAACTATAATGTGTTCTAATGTGGAAACTTACTTAAGGGTTACCATTAGCTTGATCTATTGCCTGCAGTTAGTTTATGGTGACGTGCGCGACCTTTAGTTAACACACACATTATACAAGACTGAAAATGCTCTATTATTTGTTTGGGACCGCAAAAAAATAAGTTAGCCCACTCCTGCCAAAAATGAAGCTGGGATATATTCACATATTATTCATGACTACTAATCTCAGAGGGCCACATTCCTTCCTGCATGAAAAATCATGGGATGGGAGTACTCACCAGAAAACATGCTCAGTTTATGAGAAGCCAGTTTCACTGAACCTTGATAAGTGCATAATGCTCCTTGCCTCAAGTCAGAACCTGCCCTGCATGCTTAAACACCAACACTCCAGCTGGTTTTGATGGCATGTTGCCACTGAATCTTCTCCCCACCCATGCCACCCTTTTGATGGAGTGCAAGTGACCCTTTCCAATGAGGTTTACAAGACATCACAGGGGACCTAATGCTACTCAGACAACTAGTATATTAAGCAGCATATAGCAGCACTAGCGTTGACATGCTCCCAGATGAACTAATGTTGAGTGGATGGCTTCTGACAATCATCCAGGCCACACACACTTGTTTAGTTGTAGCTCTGACATATGAATAACCTAGAGGTGTTGGCAGAAGCTATGAAGGGGCATGACACAGCTGCATTTCCCCTCTGGGTAGACTCAGTTGAACTTACATCATGATTGTCCATTTCATTACACCAGTCTATCTCCATTTAAGCCAATGTCACTTCAGCATAAAGCTAGCATAAAGGACTGGAGAAACAAGCTCATAATGTTTAACAAACTGCTCCCCTCCGGCGTATGCAACTGATAGGAGTCTATGAACCTTAGTTTGCAATATTGCCTCATCACTTAAAAAAGCTATGTAAAAGCACAGTCTACCACCAACATTTACCTTGCTTCATCAGGATGAGTGATTCGTACAGTGTCATTTGGAATGTAGATCATATTTGTATCTTCTATTTTGTATATTGCATGCCCTCCAATATCTGCCATCTTTCTCCTTTTTGTTATTAACACAATGTAGTAGCCTTCTAAAAATCTAACAAAACCTGTTCAAAATTGAAGAAATACAAGAAATAAGAACCCATCTGTCACAAGTTGACTTAGTCAGATACAATGTTTAGAAGGACAATATCAGGTACTATTTCAATACTTTGTACAATATTAAATTTTTATAAACATTTGAAAGTTCTCTTTTTTTAAGCACAGTAGGACTCACTTTTATCCAACTCTCACTCCGTTAAAAAAGTGAGTCTCCAAATCAGCTTCAGCCTCAAAAGAATCAATTGCTTGAGGGTGGGGAGGATGAAGGGGATTTGGGAGGCCCTGACCCTACTCTTGGTATCAGGAATAAGCCCTGATCCCTGCTGACTGACTTCTGAGAGGGAATCCCCTAGGGCTCTTTTATCACTGCTACAGTGGGGTAGCAGCAAAAAGGTAGCCCAGAAAAGAAGCTGCATCAGGAATAATAAAGGGGCAGAGGGGCCAACTACAACCATCCTTGCCTCCACTTTTTCTTCCCCTTCTTCCATATTAGCCCACCTTTGAAATAATTGCTCTGACCTCCACAGGAAAAGGAACCCCTATCTAACACAGTAAGAAACAACGTCTTCTGAGGCATCTAGACTAAACTACTGGATTCTGATTGCTAAATTGCAGCTGAAGTTCTTCCGGTATTCTGTAAGTACTGGAGTGAGGGATTCAGTGAACTCTATTTTTTGTATTATTGTCACCTACCTAGTTTTTGATCAGAGATCCAATTTCTGGCTTTCTAGTCAGGTCCCTACATAAGAATGGCCATACTGGCTCAGACCAGTATCCTGTCTTCTGACAGTGGCCAATGACATTTGCTTCAAAGGGAATGAAGAGAACGGGGTAATTATCAAGTGATCCATTCCATCACCCAGTCCCAGCATCAGGTAGTCAGAAGTTTAGGAACACCCTGAGCAGGGCAGGAGGGAGGTTGCATCCTGGACCATCTTGGCTAATAGCCATCAATGGAACTACTCTCCATGAATTGATCTAATTCTTTTTTGAACCCAGTTTCAGCTTTGGACTTCAAAACAGCCACTGGCAAGGAGTTCCACAGGTTGACTGTGTGTTCTGTGGAGAAGTAATTCCTTTTGTTTGTTTTAAACCCGATACCTATTGATTTCATTGGGTGATCCATGGTTCTTGTTATGTGAAGGGGTAAATAACATTTCCGCATTCTCTTTCTACACATAATTTCCTGATTTTATAGACCACTATATTTCTCTTTAGTCGTCTCTTTTCCAAGCTGAAAAGTCCTAGTCTTTTTAATCTCTCCTCATACAGAAGCTGTTCCATACCCTTAATCATTTTTGTTGCCTTTCTCTGTACCTTTTCCACTTTTAAAATATACCTTTTTTTTTTTTTTTTGAGTAGAGCTGCACACAGTATTCAAGTTGGGGGAGTACCATGGATTTATATAGTGGCATTATGATATTTACTGTCTAACCTCTCTTTCCTAATGGTTCCTAACATCCTCTTAGCTTTTTTGACTTCTGCTGCACATTGAGTGTATATTTCGAGAGAACTATCCACCATGACTCCAAATTCTCTTTCTTGAGTAATAACAGCTAATTTAGACCCCATCATTTTGTACGTATAGTTGAGATTATGTTTTCCAATGTACATTATTTTGCATTTATCAACACTGAATTTCATCTGCCATTTTGTTGCCCAGTCAGCCAGTTTTGCGAGATCCCTTTGAAACTCTTCTCAGTCTGCTTTATACTTAACTATCTTGAGTAATTTTGTATCATCTGCAAACTTTGCCACTTCATTGTTTACCCCTTTTTCCAGATCATTTATGAATATGTTGAACAACACTGTACTGGTCCCAGTACAGCTCCATGGGGGACACTGCTATTTTCCTCTCTCCATTCTGAAAACTGACCATTTATTCCTATCCTCTGTTTCCTGTCTTTTAACCAGTTACTGATCCATGAGAGGGCCTTCCTTCTTATCCCATGACTGCTTACTTGGCTTAAGAGCCTTTGGTGAGGGACCTTATCAAAGGCTTTCTGAAAGCCCAAGTACACTATATCCACGGGATCACTTTTGTCCACGTGTGTGTTGATCCCCACAAAGATTCTAGGGTAGGACAAGAAGCAATGGGCTTAAATTGCGGCAAGATTTAGGTTGTATATTAGGAAAAGCTTCCCAACTGTCAGGGTAGTTAAGCACTGGAATAATTTGCTTTTGGACGTTGTGGAATCTCCATAATCGGAGATTTTTAAGAGCAGGTTAGACAAACACCTGTCAGGGATGGTCTAAATAATACTTAAGTCCTGACATGAGTGCAGGGGACTGGACTAGGTGACCTCTTGAGGTCCCTCCCAGTCCTACGATTCTATGATTCTGCTCTCATTCCTCTAAGAGTGAACACTGCAGAGAGGAGAGATAAGACTAGCAGCATATCGTGAAATCTAAAAGATTCAGGTTCTGGCAGACTAAAGTAAGGACCAAATTCCAGTGCTGCTTAAATGCTGATTCATTCCTGGTTGGGATGCTGTTGAGATCAAATGACAATTGGACTTGACATTTAAATCCAGCTCTCCCACTGATTGCTCATGCCTGTGTAAGTGTGATATAAGCAACAGTATAAAGTCATTGTAAAAAGTACAAAAAAGTGTACTTTGTTAATATTTGTTACTTTACTACACGATCTCTGTGTAGAGTGGATAATATTCTGACTGGTGAAAAGTGCTGCAATTATCACTTGTGCTCAGAGTTATACTTTCTTAAAAAATATACCATCAAAGAAATAACAAGGGGATTACCTACGACACCGAAAGCAGAGACAGCTCGAGATAACCCAGAGGAGCCCTTCTGTCCAATCTTTGTTCTATTTCCCAGATCTAGGCGGCCAAGAAGTTCCCTCACCTCTTGATGTGTGTACACATGCTGAAAATATAAATGCATATTGAACTTATTCTTTTGGTTATCAGTGCTACTTTACATCACAGAATAGTGGAGTTTATTTAACTGCACAGTTCTGTTCTGAAAAGTGACTAAAGAGAATATCATGGCTTCCATTGTTTATTGACTCTCAATTTCATAACATATGTGGTCAAGATTACAAAGCAAAATTGTATTTTGGGAACTGATCTCCACTGTCAAGCTTGAGTCCAAGATCAAGCAGTCTATAAGATAGCCATCACCTAGTCCACCACAGTGACTGTTTTAAATTATTTATTAATTAATAAAAAGTGTATTTGTTATTAAGTTAAACATTTTTATCTTATTCAAATAAATTAAATAATTGTATCTGATAATTTAACACTTTTCTTATCCTAATTTGTCTCCTCATTTCTAACAAAACCTATCTGCATTAATCGCCATTTATTGAAGTGCTAGGACTTTTTTTCATTGGAAAGGGGAAAAATCCTTCTGCCCTGCATACATCCCACCATGTGGTCACCTTGTGTTTTCTGTACTTTAACTGCATTCTGTAATTGTCTTCTTAGACAAATTATTTTGTAGAACTAGGGTCTATGTGGACATTTATGTCTAGGGCCCTACCAAATTCACAGCCATGAAAAATGCACCACAGACAGTGAAATCTGGTCTCCCCCCCCCCATGAAATCTCGTCTTTTGTGTTCTTTTATCCTAAACTATACAAATTTCAAGGGGGAGATCAGCATTTCTCAAATTGGGGGTCCTGACCCAAAAGGGAGTTGCTGGGGGGGGGTCACAAGGTTATTTTAGGGGGGTCATGGTATTGCCACCCTTACTTCTGCACTGCCTTCAGAGCTGGCGGACAGAGAGTGACGACTGTTGGCCAGGTGCCTAGCTCGGAAGGGAGCGCCACACCAGAAGCAGCACAGAAGGGTGGCAATACCATACCATGTCACTTTTACTTCTGCAATGCTGCCTTCAGAGCTGGGCAGCTGGATAGTAGCAGCTGCGGACCAAGCGCCCAGCTCCGAAGGCAGCAGTGCAGAAGTAAGGATGGCAATACCATAACATGCCATCCTTACTTCTTTGCTGCTGTTGCTGATGGTGGCTCCGCCTTCAGAGCTGGGCTCCCGGCCAGTAGCCACCACCCTCACGTCGCTCAACTTTGAAGGCAGGGCCACCATCAGCTGGAGCACAGAAGTAGAGGTAGCAGTACCGCAACCCCACACTACAATAAACTTGTGGTTCCCTCCCACCCCAAAACTCCTTTTTGGGTCAGGATTCCTACAATTACAACACCGTGAAATTTCGGATGTAAATATCTGAAATCATGACATTTACGATTTTTAAAATCTGATGACCGTGAAACTGACCAAAATGGACTGTGAATTTGGTAGGGCCCTACTTACGTCCATACAGAATTCCACTGAGAGGAATGGTACAGTACCCAGTGCAGGCAGTTCTCTTTGCAGGATTGAAGCCTCATGCCCTGATCCTTCAAAAAAACATGCATATCCATAACTTTATACACATCAGTATTCCCACTGAAGTAAAAGTAAGGAAGTAATCACACATGTTTATGAAGTTAAGTAGATGTGTAAGTCTTTGACGGGCTGGGACACTACACCATAAAATCCTTGGGGGCAGGGACCATGTCTTACTCTATTCTGTACATTACCAAGCTTTGTTGTCTGTTGCTTGTCTTGCTTCAGATGTGTAAATGATTTCAAACCAATTCCTAGCATTTAGCTAAGCAGTAGTTAAGCAAGTTCATTTTGAATTTCAGAATGACATAGCTGAACATAAGACAAAACTCACATCTATTACTTGACATTAGGAGATCACAGTTAGCAGAAACTGCACAGTTAACAGAAACTGAGTGTCATGGAAGTATGATGTAGTAGGATGACACATTTGTACTAAGATAAAAGTTTAGATATCTGCTGTTTATGTAGGAAACAAATCATATACATGTGAAATTCAGAGCATCGTGAAATACTCATGAGTATGTTTTTCAGCTGTTCTGAACTTACCTTATCATCAATTATAACTAAATCCGTCGGTTCAGTGCGATCAATTTTCAAAACACGATACTTGGTCTCTGCATGATTACTCCCAACAAGAAAATACCGCTAGGTTTAAAAAAAAGAAAAGACTATATTGTACAAGAAAGAAAACCCTCAAAAACTATAAACGTATCAACAATAGCGTTATATAGCTATAGATTAGCTCGATCTTAATTAGATCAGATAAATTTGTAAATGGTATTGTTTTAGCCATCAGCATTTCAGGTACATTTTGTATGTTTCATGAAAATACTAATCAATCCCCAACACTTAAAAAGCCCCTTAACTCTCCAGTTCACAGCACAGAGGGAAGAAAACCAATTTAAATCTGGAGAAAGAAAAGTTGGCAGCTGTGTGGAGAAGGAAAATGCAACTTACATAAAAGAGTGTCTCCCCATCCCGTCCCACTCCCCCCCTCTCCCCCCCGCCCACCTAGCCATCAGGGAACTCTCTGAAAAGTCAGCCTGCTCGCATGCTTTAGTGGCGAGGCTATAAGACAGAGGTGGGCAAACTACGGCCCGCGGGACTGTCCTGCCCGGCCCCTGAGCTCCCAGCCGGGGAGGCTAGCCCCTGGCCCCTCCCCCGCTGTCTCCCCTTCCCCCGCAGAGCCACGCCACCGCGCAGGCAGCACTCTGGGCGGTGGAGCTGCGCGCTCCTGCCAAGCAGAGCAACAGCGTGTCTGGCTCTGGCCGGCACAGCAGCCAGACATGCTGTTCTGCATGCTCTGCTCAGCATGGTAAGTGGGTCGGGGGGTTGTATAAGTGGGCCGGAGGACCCCGGGGGGCAATCGGGACAGGGAGCAGGGGGCGGTTGAATGGGGCAGAGGTTCTGGGGAGGGGGGTGGTCAGGGGACGGGGAACAGGGGGGGTTGGACAGACGTGGGGTCCCAGGGGGCCTGTCAGGGGGCAGGGGTATGGATGGGGTCGGGGCAGTCAGGGGACTGGGAGCGGGGGGGTAATAGGGGGTTGGGTCCCAGGGGACGGTTGGGGAAGGGGATTCCGGGGGGGGGGTGCAGTTAGGAGACAAGGAGCGGGGGGGTTGGATGGGTCGCGGCTCTGAGGGGGGCAGTCAGGAGGTGGGAAGTGGGAGGGGGCGGATGGGGGCGGGGGTCAGGCTGTCTGGGGAGGCACAGCCTTCCCTACCTGGCCCTCCATCCAGTTTTGCAACCCCAATGTGGCCCTCAGGCCAAAAAGTTTGCCCACCCCTGCTATAAGATGAAGTTGGTGAACAGTCCTAAACAAGTCAGTTGTTTTTTCCAATAACCTCCCAGTTTAAAGAGCTTAATAGAAACAGTATCTGTCTCTCTGTAAAGTACTTTAAACATGGAAGAGGTGATGAGAGAAACTGACTAGAATGCTAGTCAACTTCACTCTGTAGTCTTCCACATCTAAAGCAATTCTGCTATCTTGTAGACAGAGAACACTAGCTCCAACGCCATCATAACAGGAAAGGTATAAGAACCTAAACTGATTGATGTATATGAGGGTCAGAGTGCCAAAGTGGGAGTGGGGGGGAGGAGAGAGGAAAGACAAGAGAAACTCAGAGACCAAAATGGAGACAGAGAAAGGGGGAAATGCAGAAAGAGAAACTGAAGGATATGGAGGGAAAGAAATAAAGGGCAATAATACTGTCGTATCTTTGTTGTCCATTTTTTCAACTTACTGATTCTGAATATAAGAGTTACTAAGATGTTAGGCCTTGATCCTTCAAGGAACTTCACAAGTGCAAGGATCTGTCCATGGGGAGCTCCTTGCAGGAGTAGGGTGCCTTAAGTTAATTATTAAAGGCCAAACTACACCCTTGCATAAAAACTTCCTTTCATGTCAATTGCAGTTATACAGTGTACTGTTAATACATGACTCCAGTTTTATACCCTCTCACCTCAGCCCACAGATTAAACTAAAATGTTATTCAGTCCTTACCACCAGAAGAATTTCTTCACATCATTGGTATATGCTGAACACTCAACATAGATGATAGCTAATTTAAATAATGATGAGCATTTTTAAGATCTGATTCTGATGGCAGATTTAGAGGGAAGAGCATTGTAAAAGATGGACATCTACGTATCCAAGATCAAACTAGAAACACTGATTCCTTGGGTAGGATCAAATGAAAAGATATAAGAGAAGTAATAAACTATCAGTCAGGCAACACAAATATTCTGATGGATAGATTTCACTGGTAAAAAAAAAAAAAAAAAACTATATTTAAGAACATTCTACATACTATGCTCAAAAATTATATGGGCTTATTAAAAAATGCCTATTTGCCAGGATCTAAACATTACAAAGTGAGAGATCCACCAAAATTTCAAATCTTAATCCAAAAACAAATCTTTAAAAATTTAATTTCAACAGTACTGATAATTAAGAAAGAACTACATTTTTAAAAAGAATGCTATTTATAATATTTGTATTTCTACCTCTTAAGTGAAATGTGAAAAGAAAGTGAATATTTGCACTGTACTCATTACGTGACAAAAGGGTAAACTAAAATTGAATTATCTTCTACATTTAGGGTAATTAACAGTAAGTGCAGATTACAGGACTGGCTTGCTGTAGGAAGCTCTTGTTTTGCTAATTCCTTCTATCAGTACTGTCCTAAACACAACAGGGTGTAGCTTTTAATAATGCTCAGCCTAGTAGGAAAACATGATGAAATCATGTGGCTCTACTCAGCCTTGCTCTTAACTTGAACAGTCACATGGATTTCAGATGTGTGAGGGGGATCAGAAATAAGATTTACATAGTGCCCGGGTATCAGAATTCATATGAGCTAAACAGTGAAGATGAACAAAAAGTTTGTTTTTGAAAACCAACGCACAAACTTAAGTCAAAATATTTAAATTGAAATTAACAGAATTTAAAGTCCTATTCAGCATTCTCTACTCCCCCCAAAAAACTCCATCTGGTATCCTGGTACCTAGGTATTACAGTGTATATCGCATGGTTCTCTGCAAAAGGGTTTCCACTTACAGAACTGTGCCATAGTATGTGTGCATGTGGTTCTTTACTATTAGGATTACAATAGTCCACCAAGCCATAACAACCTCTCCTCATTTAAATCCCCCTTGAGAACTCAATTCCACAACTTCCACACTGCAAATAGATCAATTTTAGTCACCTTATAATCTTTAATTTTTATATACAGCAAACACAAACACAGAACCACCAAGACACACACTTGCCTAGACTGACAAACCATGTGATCTTAACACTTCCAACGCTTATTCTCATTGGCCCTTTACCCCCTACTCTGTATCATCCTCACTCGTAAAATTTAGACTGTAAGTTCTTTGAAGCCACTATCATATCTTTCTTTGCTGCGAAGTGTCTAGCACATCATGGGTGATTACAGTGGCACAAAAGTGCCAATGCAGTTAGGGTATGGTCACAACATTTTAAAAGGTTAATGTTTTTAAGTCCCCTAAAATGGACATGCTTAGTCCGATTTCTTAGTAATGTGGTGTGCCTCTGGAGGGTGGAGCATAGGTTTAGTGACCCAAAATTTGAGTCCTGTGAGCCAGAGTTTCCAGAGATATAAGCCGTGAAAAAAACAGCCATTTTTAACAAGTTTTTAGGGTTTTGTTTGTTTTTGCGCAGACCTAGAGATCAAACTATTGACGTGATGGTCTCAATTTGTTAAGTTTTACCCAAGGCAGCACATGGCACTCACTAAATCTTTTGGGAGTCTGGCCTGGTCTACACTACGAAATTAGGTAATACCGGCTGTATTACTATTTTAAGCCTGTCAGATGTATAGGACAGGGAAGAGTCTTAAAAACAATAAAAACATCTAGTGAGGCAATAAGTAGAGATGAAAAAGACAGCTACAGGATTTTGGGGAAGGTCACTGAGGTTATGCTGAGGGACGCCTACAAATAAACAAAAACCAGCCAACCAATACCAACCAGCCAACAAAACCAAACCACCAACCAAAGGCTTCAAGAGCTCCAAAGGCCAACTCTGGGCAGATGTTGGTGGACAAACTGAAGGGATGTGTAAAGTGAGTTGAAAAGTTGATCCAATATGTGTTAATAAGAGGCCAAAGAAAATCATAGTAGTAACTAATCACTTTCTAGAGTACTTCACACTAAATAAAAAAACGTGAAGGTATTTTACTGGGTTTCCAGGGGAAAAAAGTGACAGCAACACTCAACCAAAACCAACAGAAGAAATGTACTACAAAAAGCTATATCATCCAATATCACTGTGAACTACACCGTCAGTAACTGCCAGATCACAGGAAAAATCTAATTCAATATTGTTAAATCCTGAACAACAGAAGTGTCAACAAAAAAACCTCATTTGATCTGAACATTTCTATTTAGAAATATCTACGTTCTAGCCTTACCAAACACAACAAATTTCCCACAATGTAAAATAAAAGTTTCAATCTTTTCTCCCCGTTTTCTATTTACCATTGCTTAAAAGCAAATATTCCACTCAATGTATTTTTGAGGGTTACCCTTTACCTCTCTGTACCTTAGTTTGCCAACAAATAAAAGGCATACAACAGTTTCCTCACTGGAGACACTCTCTCTCTCTCTCTCATATGAGAGAGTTTATTATTGTTTGTAAGACATTTTCAGATCTTTGGATAAGAGATGCTATATCAGTGTGAAGTATTATTACTATAACAATTCTAGCATGGCTGCATGCAGGAGACCAAAACACACTAGTGAAATGGATTAGTCCCCACGAACTCACTACCAAGAACGCATTATTGCTTAAAATCATATGCATCTTAAAAGACAGTATTATACAAATAATCCAGAGACAAAAACGAAAGGTGTGATATAAGGCTTTTGGTCATACTTGGCTTGTTAAAGTTGCATTTTGTTGCTGTTCTTATTGGAATGACCTTAATCAATCAATATAGATGAGAAAAAAGAATATGACGGGATCTGTCAATTGAATTAAAGATCTGTCCTTTCTCCGTCTTCACTTGATATATGGAAACTTGCTCACTACATGAAAGATGATTGAACATTAGAGGACATTTTATCTGGAAACAAGATGGAGAACATCCACCAGAATTTCTGGACTTGATCTGAAGACTGC